GCAATGTAAGGATAAAGAAAATTTGCGGCCGCTTTTGCATGCTTGATCAAGTATTCGGCATACGTAAGCGAAGCAGGCTGATATTTCAGGAGTGAATAATTGAATTTGTATGCAGTATACCGTATTAAGATGACGTCTGATTGAACGGATTGAAGAGCATCGATGACAAATTGGTCCCCAGTTTTCCTTGCAATATGCAAGTCGAGTGTTGCGTTGGTCTCATATTCCAGGTGATCGAATGGCAACAAACATTCCTTTTTTCTATATCGCTTAAGATCGAGTTGGTTGGATCCAATATACTCTTTGCCCACCGCATTGCTTAATTCGACAATTTTTGTTGTATACTTTTTAGCCTTGATTGCCTTCATCTCTTGGTTCCACTGCAAAAAATGATCTTGCGTGATGAATGTAGTGTTTGGAGCAGATTGCCGCATTGATTCGACAGAATAGTAATAATCAAACGTAAAGGACTTGCATGAACCAAGTCTTGCATCTCCAACATTTGGTAAAACTAATACTCGATTGGTTTGCTGTGCCATGATAATCAAGCCTGGGACTTGCAGTCTTGCTCTCGATTCTTGCTCTCGTATACTGAACGGGAACAAAAATTTGCAAACAGAAGAACCGCAATATTTACGATTTATCTGTTCTTCTGTTGCAACCAAGTCATAAGCGGTGGAGGCCGGTTGTGCGTCGTTTGATTTCTCCTGTAAAACGGAAATTTGGCGAAAAGATGTAAATATGGGATTACAATTAGAATTGATTGAAATTGCGGTCGGTTATTCAAAAAATAGAGCAGTTTAACAAAGGACACACGAAATCAAGAAAATCTGTCATCGTTTGGTTACCCCAGATTTTTACAATTGTGTGTTTTCTTATTTTTACTGACGACTATCGATTTTACAGTCTCTCTTTAGGAACTCACTTCTGTATTATAATTATCCGTTATTTTTTCTTCAATATTAGTGTTGTAGTAGACAAGTATATTGCAAAGTAGGAGAACAGTTGCTGTCGTTATAAAGCAACCAATTGCCCATTTTTGATGAGTCCTCATTTTTAAGCATCAAACAAACTACTTTAGTTGAAAACTGCTTTTGACATGAATTTTTAAATGACAAGATTGTGGAAAGATGTTTGAACAATATGAGATATAAACAAGCGTATCAGTAATAAAATATATCGTTATGTAATTGTAAAGTTATTCAAGAAACAACGTTGTTAGGTGAGCTATTTATAGCATGGTTTGAGGAGCATGCTGGGATGATAGCTTATTGGGTTGCTGTCGGAAAAGGCATATCACAGCACGTTGAGAAACGATCGCTCATAGAATTAAATTAAAATCAACAAGTTTGTAACGTTTTGTGTTCATCGATCTTGACGGAATCAAATTAAAATGTGATATATCAGTAAAAACTTTCGATAAAATCTTATGACAGATATAACTCCCCCGTCTGTCAATCAATTGTGTAACGCATTTCAACCCGTATTTAAATTTCGAACTAGTTTCTTTTATTACTCCTTCCGATAATACATAGTCACTCTCGATAAGTCGGACACTCGATAAGTCGGATTTGGCTTAACTCGGACAAATTTTTTCGCCCCTTTTTTCAATATTTAAAAAAAAATTCGATAAGTCGGGCACATATAAAATCGCGATAAACTCGTAAGTCGGACACCCTTTCGCTCGGGTTGTAACAAATGACTCTCGATAAGTCGAGACACGTGATTTTTGAGTAATAATCTTTACCGTTTTAGTGAATAGAATACAATTAATTACCCAATGATTTTGATAAGAATAATTGCATCGTAGACAATATTGATATTGTCATCATTTGGCTATACGAAGTTGTATGGCATGGTAAAGTGAGGCTTTTTCTTTGCACTATACTTTTAGCAGGAGAATAGAAGTTATTATGCACGCACGATATTAAAACAAATAATCATTTTGATCCATACAAAAAGTCCGGTGATTCATTGTAGTAGAAATTACCCCCATCCTATCGCAGAAATTACAGTCGCATCACATGATGATTGGGTAAAATTCATTTTCCCAGCATCGCCATCAAAAATTTACGGACACGTGATTATTTCTATATGTAAGATTTGAGTTTAACATAAATTTAGTAAAAATTAAATTTCGCTTCCATAATCTCACCCACTGCGATCCTGGGGTAGTTGTGAAATTCTTGAATAATAAAATAAATGCCTATATAACAGCACTTGCACTGCGCTGATACTGCATCCATTTTAATAATAAGTACTTTGTTCCATCTTACTATTATGGAACTCGTTCGATTTCAAGAACAGCTTTTCGAGATGTTGTTTAGACCAGATGAGTCAAAGATTCCCCGTCGCAAGATACCAAGACTTGAACTATTAGATTGAAAAGACTATAGCGCAGTCAACACTTGACTTTTTTATCAGGGAATAAGCTAATTTTTTTATGTAAGTTGACTTTAACTAAATAAATAAAATCAATGCTGTTTGGTAAAATTTACAACATTCTTGCCAATCAATGTAAATCTTTATAAGCACTTAACAATAAATTATATACAGTGCATTACAAAATTATTCGGAATTTTTACACACGTCTAGCGCGCTGTGTACGCATACAATTTATAACGCGCAAAATACAAAACAAAGCTTGCGTTTCAAGCTAAAATTTAACGTATTTAACAGTGTCATTATTACAGCAGCTTTTAAGATAACTTTGTGTACAATGCTTCTTTCAAAAGAAGAAACACAGCGTCAGACTTTATTACAATTGTGGAATAATGGCCAAACAAATCCATACACAAACCGGTATTGCGCTCAGTACTGTTACTTGCGAGAAAACGTTTCGGAAATGCTGGAATGGCTGTCCAACAGCCCGGACTTAAATCCCATTGAAAGCATGTGAAAAGAAATGTGGAGAAGAGAATGCCGCAAAATATTGAGAATTTGGAGCAATTTATGAAGGAGGAGTGGCAGAACATTCCAAATAGTGTTATAATTAATCTCGTAGACTCAATGTCTAGACGTTGTCAAAGTGTAATCGAGAGAAACGGAGAAAAAATTAATTATTAATAAAATCTATGCGTTTTTGGCTTTCAAACAAGCCATTTTTCATAATTTTCGAATCGCTGGTTGTAATACAGACAATATAATTTTCTTTTGATTCCGGATAATTTTGTAACACACTGTAAATATTTAGATTATATAGAGGGCCTCCTCTACAGTCACATCCTCTTTACAGTCACTGGATTCAAAAAAAAAGTGACTGTAGAGACGACTGTAATTGTATTACAAAAGTTAGAATTACTAAGCTCTATCAGTCAGTGTAAATTTTTTAACTAAAACTATTAACATCTAATTTAATCAATAATGTGTTTCATGACCATGTTGGTTGTTCCCACCTATCCCCCACATTTAATAAGCTGCTGTCTCTTACAGTGTTTTCTTCAAAAGTCTTATTTTGCTGTTTTATAATTGTAGTTCTTCCTTGTAACACCTGTGCC